TTTCAATTTACTTTATTGTTTTCTCATTAAACTTTATAAAGTTAAAAACATGATAAACATGCATTAAGTAGAAATAAAAAGATAAATGTACGTACATTTATTTTTTTTAAAACACCATCCTTTCTAAAAAATATTCTGCACTTGCGCGAAAACTGGTGGGCGGTAAGGAAATTTTTCCATCAAGAAAGATGCATTAGTGGGCGGTAGGTAGAAAAAGGTTGACTACCACTGGGTTATAATTTGAAATTCAATTAGAATTCACAATGACTACCCGATAGTCCACATTTTAGTAAATAACTCTGTACTTTAGTTCAACCATTTCTGTACACCTCCTAAGTGTCCTTATTTAGGAAGGACTGTCCTTATTTTGGGCCCAAATCCCTCTGTCCCTCTTTTCTAGGAGCTCCATATTGTTGGTGTGTCTGAGTGTATAACAGAGCTCCACAGCAATAATACTCCCAGTAATGTGTCTGAGTGTATAACAGAGCTCCACAGCAATAATACTCCCAGTAATGTGCCTGCGTGTATAACAGAGCAACACAGCTATAATACTCCCAGTAATGTGTCTGAGTGTATAAAAGAGCTCCACAGCAATAATACTCCCAGTAATGTGTCTGAGTGTATCACAGAGCTCCACAGAAATAATACTCCCAGTAATGTGTCTGAGTGTATAACAGAGCTCCACAGCAATAATCTCCCAGTAATGTGCCTGCGTGTATAACAGAGCTCCACAGCAATAATACTCCCAGTAATGTGTCTTTAAATTACAATAAATGTGTTTAGAAATCAGTCTGTGTAAATAAGATACATTGTTCTTGTTTTAAATTACATTTTAGTTGCATAAAATTTCTCAGAAGAACCCCGCCCCCAGAATTAAAGTGCCCCCCATTGTCCATTTAAAATGTTGGGAGTTATTTCTGTAGGAATAAAAGTACTTTCTGGAGACCTGTAACAACTGTTTTTGATGGTATTGGAAAAGTTAAATTTCACTGAGTACAACGGCAGCGTCAAAAACCTGATGACATTTGTGGAATTGCTGCATTCTGCCACTAGAATGTAATGTCTGTCCAACATACAGGAAGTATAGTTACACGGTGCATACAAGCACTGCAATGTTTATACTGCAGAGTTAAGACTGCCTCTAGTGGCTGTCTATCAGAAAGCCACTGGAGGCACTTCCTGCAATTTCATGGAGTTTAACTCCTCGCGTTGTGTATGAGGTGTGTATGTCCAGCGTCTTCAAATCCCCCATAGGAAAACATTGGTTCAATACTTTCCTATCAGGAAGGCCTAATGCGTGCACGGCTGATGTTGCAGGAGGCGGAGACACAGCCAGCGCTGAGGGACTTGGGCACTGGAATCGGGTAAGAAGTTAAAGTGTTTTAACCCTTTATTTGCAATGTTTGGGTATGAGCAAGGAAGGGGGGGCAGCGGACACTGTAATGTTAGGAAAACAGCTTTGTATTTCTAACAATTCAGTGTTTGTGAAGGGAAATATCCTGGGCTGGAGACACAGGGTTCCGGTTTTGTTGTTGGGGTGTGTGGGGGCGACACGGTGGCCCCCTGACGGTGAGGTCCTATGGGGGTAGGTTTGCGTTTGAGAGGGGGGGAGCATGGAAGATACACACAGAACTCCATTTCTCCACTTCCAAGTCCCCTCCTATGTATGACGAGCACAGGGTGACTTGGAATCTCTGTCTCGCCTGCCTAACCCAGACTTCCACAGACTGATCGACTATGAGGGCTCCATGTGCCTGACCGGTACAAACGTAGAAACCGTGTGGCACAACCCACTGAAACTGTAATCGGATGTAGCTCAGAGCCCCTGCGACAGATCACAGAGCTATTTTGCCAGATAGGGCGCTCGGGGACGAGCTGTCCACACGTGTGGGGTTTGTTGAAGTAATAATGTGTGTTTAGGGTTATTCAGTTAAGGCACCATGTTGTCTGGAAGCTAATTAGATTACCGGTAATTGATCTAGCTATCTCTCAGACACAGCGGTGCCATGGAGGGAACTGTTAAGGACCCCCTGTTGTGTTTGTCCCTATAAATATGTGTGATTTGTGACAATAAAGGTGTGTGTGCTTTAACCTTCACCAAGTGTCGACTGGTGTTTGGGGAAAGTACTATAACCACTTCAGCTCTGTATTCTCCAGCGAGAGGGAGCTTTTAACGGAGGTACTCAGCCTAAGTACTGGATCCCCATTACAGTGTTCCTTTAATTCACGAGCTGAGGGCATTAGCTGCTTAGGAAACACTGTCTCTCCATCAGTGGGAATGGAGGTGCAGGGCAGTGTCCAGCGTGAGAAGTGAAAATTCTAAAAAAAAATGGTGTGATCACTTAGAATGGGGGGAAGGGGCTCCAGGGCACTCCTGGCACTATAACCACTACAGCGCGGTACTACTTATGGTCTCTGGAGTTTTCCCTTGTTTGCAATAGAAAACCAAACTTAGCTGTGTATACTTTTTTTTTCCATCTTATTATTGTCATTTTGTGTCTGCAATCCTTTAATGCTGAATGTCCCGTTGGAGACGGGCTTGTTTCTGTCTAGCCTGGTCTCTTTTTGCTGTGTAAGGAGTGACCTGGTGCTCACAGAAACCACAATGACACGTGACTTGCTACACAGAGGAAGAGATACTAGCGGACGGACAGATCAGTTTAAAGTGTTAATACCTTGCGACAGCAGCAAAACCGACAGGCAAACAGCTTCCTCATATAATGATTTGAATATGATTGTTATCGAGTATACTAAGCCTTTATAAAGGCCAACATATTGCCTTGTGTGGAATAAACCTCTTATTGTCTGCAGTAAACCTGGTCTTGATGTTTTTCTAAAATTATTTGAATATATTATGTGAGATCAGGGAAGTCGGTGAGATACCATTTTTATGAGATATATACATAATGTCCCTTTAAATAAGTGGGAGATGGATGATTATGTTGTAAAGAATCCTAAGTGACATGAAATTTAAAGGACTAAAATATATTCATGGACTGTTTCAGAATTTGATGTAGACAATGCAGGTGAAATTGTGAAGCAGTTTTTTTTTTTTTTACATTTATTTTTCTTCATTTAATTTTCCTAGAATTCTATCACACCTTAGCCATTATCTTTTTTTTTTCTTCTTCCCATAAACCAATTGTACATCTTCATACCTACCTGCCTATGGTGACCGGATTTCATAACTAAAACAAAATAAGGCATTATTTTCTGTTATTTGAGTGAATTGTGTTAATTAAAAAATAAAAATATAAAATGTTGGGCAGTAACGGAGTTAGAAAAATCTTAAAATTATATTTGCAAACCTTGACTATTTCAGGCTACTTTTTGCAATTCTGTAACTTGATACCAAATACTCTCTGACCCTCTTCACCCAGGCTCCTCCCCACCAGTTTCTTATTCATTTTACCTGCCCTTTGTAAAAATATCCCAAAATCTTGGGACGTACAGTCCTGTATCAGCCCTGATTAAATGCACATGTTTGGGATGAACATCTCACACAATACCCAGAAAACCTGCACAAAGTGAGTATACTATCATGCTCAACCTGTCTGGCTTAGCATAGTGGGAATGGTACATCCAGAAAATCTGCAGCAGGCTGACTGGGCATCAATGGAAATATACTCTCCTGTAGGCTAGCTGGGCTTAATGGGAGTGGTACTCCCAAACATCTGCATCAGGCTGACAGAATTCAAAGAAAATATATATTTACAAACCTTTCCCATAACGCTCAGCCAGTCTATGGCTATGTAAGGCCTAGCAAGCCTCCTGTAGGTATTTGGGAACCAAATTTTCCCCTGGGCCCTAGCTTAGCATCATGGGTAGTGTAGTTCCCAAACATTTGCAGTGCCAATATTAGCTACTACTGCTAAATGTGAATGCAATCAAATGCAGAGGAGAAATCTTATTAAAATGTTCATCTTTGGAGTTCATTGCCAATTTTTAATTGTCTTTATTTATACATCTTCCCGGCAAGATGTAATCCCTCTGCGTCCCATTAGACTTTATCTCGGGCCTCTCCATAACAGCAGCTCCGTGGGGAGCGAGAGGGTTACTAGATCCCTCCAAAGGTTCATCCGAGAACACACGCTACCCTTGGGGGCTTGAAAAAAAAAAACAGCGAGAGGAGACACGCAATCACAATGTTCCCCCAACCCAGCCTTTTACGTCACTGTCTGATTTTCTTTTTTTTTTTCTTTGCAATTTTGTGTCGATCATATATTTTCAAACATCTTTTTCCGCTCTAATCTCAATAACACACTGACAGAATCAATCCTGTCTCCTGGAAGACGGTTACGATACAAAGTGAGATTCTGTGCAGATGTCGCTGCATTTGCCGGGCCATTTTTACTGCCATCTTTTTATTTATAGTTCTCTCATTTCCGCCCTTGTTTATTATTCAATCTCTTTTGAGATCCCGTTCCCTCCCTATTCATTTATTTCTTCCTTCCTTCTGCTCCTCATCACCTGAATTTATTGCGCCTCCCCTCTGCTTCCACGGCAGCCGATTCCCAGTAATGGGAGCATCCTCTGCATCACCATGGAAACCAAAGCGTTTTCGGCCCTTTTGTACAGACACCTGCCAGACGCATTGTGTATGCAAATGTGGATAAATAAAATACAGGGAGTGTACGTAGAAGTATATTTTTCAGTGGAGAGAACTAATAGCACATCTAGTATACCTGGTTTATGTGTATGCAGCATTAAATCTTGATTTATTTATGATTAACTTTACCACCTCTGCTGTGAGAATGTTCTATGTATCCACTACCTGTTATTTTGTTTGTTTTTTAAACAAAAAACTCCCCTTTTCAGCTCTCAAGTCCACAGATATGAGCTCTGGAGCAAATACTAGGTGCGCAAGTGACCTAAATGGTTACATCCTGCTGTAGTGGTTATGGTGTGAGGAGTACCCTGGCCCGTTCTCCGTTAATGCAGCAAACCCTTTGCCAACGGTTTTCCCTCTAACTGGGTCCCTGCTGGGCATCTACAGTCCTCCATAGCCTGTGATGAAATCTCTGCAGAAACCGGACATCGACCCGCCATCCATTCATTGGCTGAGAGCGTCAGATGACCGCAGTTCTGTAGAGATTTGCACAGAATTGACATTAGCCAGCCCACAACTCTTGTTCCAGCCAGTCCCAATGATGCTGGTGGAGTTACATCTACAGCAGTAGAAGGGTTAAACTCAGTATGTGCAGCATTCAAAGTAAAACGTTGCACATACAGACTATGAAGTGGTTATGGTTCTTGGAGTAACCCTTTAATATAGTTTCTGTTAACTTTTGTCAATCGGTCCTATTTTTTATTTTATTTTTTTACTGTGTAAGCATAGGTTACCTCCTACCTAGTATTCCACAACCCCGCTGTAATTACAGTTTAGCATTTTAGCCTGAATTTTGCAATAATTTTTTCCTTTTAATTATTATTATTGCTATTTATATAGCACCGACAGATGCCGTAGCGTTTTTATTCGTTTTTTTTTGTTAAAAAAAGACCTTTAACTATCTATTCATTACTAACACAAAGTCCAGGGTAGTAAAGATACAGCCATGTAGGAGCCTATAGTGACTCCTCCTACTGCGCATGGGAGATTATTCCGCATCTTGTTCTGTAAAAGTATTTTAAAAAATACCGAGGGGTCTTTTTACAAAAATGTGAACAAGTTCATTGCGGACTTGGGAAAATACAGGCAAAAATAGCTAGGCAGGGGGAAAGTTTGTAATCTACTTTCTATCTGCACTTCTGTCTGAACTGTGAAATGTCGGGAATTGCTCATTTTTGTCCAAAATTGCCAAATTAGAGGAATTCTCCATTCCCACAATTTTTGTCCAAATTGGCTTTTTTTTTTGTACTAAAATTTGCATCATTTCCTGTGTTTTTGACTTAACCCCAATATACTCTACTAGCTCCCAAACAGATGTAGAACTGCAACACACATAACGCTTGGACAGCTGGAAGGGACTGCCATTTGCCCAACTTTATATAGCGGGCTATTTGTGGCCAACCTGTGGCACTTCAGCTGTTTTTGGACTTTCTTTCCCAGAATGCTAAGCCAGCTTGATGTTTATCTGTCAGTGTAGCAGAAGGCGCTGAAGATGTGGCAAGAAGGGATGATGTAAGGGGAAACAAGGGGAGGAGGGGGGCTGCAGGTAAAATGGGAGAAAAGGACACGGGATTGATACAAATATAAAGCAACAAGTGAAAGCATGGAGGGGGGGTTGTGGCAATGAGATGGGAGAGGGCAATCAGGGGCAGATAATTTGGGCAGGAGCAAGGGAGAGGGGCAACAGGAGGGGAGGAGGAGCAATGGGGGAAGGAGGGGGTTAGATGGAGGGATAGAACAAGGAGGAGAGGAAGAGGGGGAGGGGGAAACGTTGTTGCATGAAACAAGCACACAAAGGACCGGGCTGTGAGACAGAGCAAGCTGCAGAGGGCGAGACATCTCACTGAGAGAGAGAAAGACAGGCAGGGAATGAGGTGAGTGCTGGGGACCCCCCAAACCACATACAGTCTAATCCTGCCAGGGGGGCACAGACACCATCACCACTTACAGGGAGTGTCTTATCCAGGCTGTGCAGGATATGGTATAAATGTATAATGTATCTATCATAATGTCTGTGCAAAATAACAGTATGTATCTATCTATATCAATAATATTATATGGCTGATCGGGATATGGTATAAATGTATAATATATACCTGATCAGGATATGGTATAAATGTATATTAGATGGCTAATCAGGATATGGTATAAATGTATAATATTATATAGCTGATCAGGATATGGTATAAATCTATAATATTATATGGCTGATCAGGATATGGTATAATTCTATAATATTATATGGCTGATCAGGATATGGTATAATTCTATAATATTATATGGCTGATCAGGATATGGTATAAATGTGTAATGAATGGGAAATCAGACTATAAGTATACATTTATAATATATGTCCCATCAGAATATCGTGTACATCTGTATATCTATCTATCTATCTATCATATGGATGTACAAGAAATAGTATATATCTTTAATACCATATAGCTGAGCTGGTTACGGTAGCAATATATATCTTCACAGGATTAATATCTATTATACGTCTGTGGAAGATAATTGTATATTTATTTAATATCATATGTCTGTGCTATATATCTGTAAATATAGCTTTAATATAATGTGGCTGTGCATGCTATGGTATAAATCGATCATATATGGCTGCGCAGGATATGGTATACATCTGTATTATATCATGTGGCTGTGCAAGATAATTTTATATAATTAATATTATATGGTTGTCCAAGGTAATAGCATATATCTATAATATAAGGCAGTGCAAGAGAATGGTATATATCTAAAATATATGAGTTCATAGGATATGGTATAAATCTATATAATATCATATGGCTGTCCAAAATAATAATATTAAATGGCTGAGTAGGATATGGTATATCTATAATATTATATGGCTTAGGCGGGCATTAAATAAATCTGTACAGTATCATAAAACCGCAGTATATGGTATATATCTGTATGTTATCACATGGACTTGCAGGTTATTGTGTATATATCGTCAGTTATTATATATCTGTGCAAGACGTAGAATTATATATATATATATCTCATGCACGCCCATATGATAACATATATGTGGCAGTCATAATTTGCAGATAAGAGATATACAGATAAATTACATGAATTGCAGAGTAATATGGCTGTAGAAATAGAGATGGCCTATGAGATAATTCTGAGAAATGCAATATCCTGTAGGGAAGCATGGTACAGGGCAATACCATATCCTGCAGATGTGTTTGGCATATAATATTTTACATACACTATTTCACATATAGCATGCAGAGACATGGACAGAAATCACAGCGCTAATGTACAGTTACAGCTATTTTCAGTAATGTGAGAATTTAACCTGAAGGTCAAAGTAGTCGAATTGGAAAAATTCTCCAAGTTAGCTTTGCTTTTAGTTCGGCTACTCTGGCCTGGGATTTGAAATTCACGTTGAACGTTCACCTTAGTAAATACCCCATGTATATGTCTAGACCAGGAGTGGCAAACAGGCAGCTCCCCACCTGTGCTACACAACCAGAGGTTTTCCATCAGTGTCTTAGGTCAGGGCAGGCCAAACGGTAGTTGTTGTGTAAGAGGCAGAGGATCATGGGAGGTGTAGTCCTCTGATAGCTTGCGGTCTCTCTTTTGACATTTCCTGGGTTTAGCCGTACGAATGACTTCCTCTTAACTTCTTTATATGGAACTTGTGTATCTCAATGCCGTGTATCAACGTCTGTCTCATCAGGGAATTTATCTGATTGCAATAAATATCAATTCTCATAGTTTGTCTACACCGAGAGCAGGCAGATCAATCAGTGTCCCGGCCTCTCCAAAAATAGCCACTGGTACCCACATGGGAAAACCTGGAACGCTAGAAGTGCTGGGAAGGGTATGCTAATATTTCATAAAATCCTGGGGGGTTTATTCTAGGCAGTGAATTGAGGTAAGCATACAATAGATCCGCTCTATTTAAGTCAAAATAATTGCGCTGAGGATATTTTCCAAATTAGCCATTTTGCCAAAAGCTTTATATTTTTGCCTGTTCGAGTCATGACAGCCGAAATAAACCCCTAGATAAATTACCCTCTATTTAGTAAATAGACCCAAAGATGCCTCTGTCATAGCCCACTGTTTAATCAATAAACCTGCAGATCTCCCCAATAAGTGTGGACGGGTATAATAAAATTAATAATACGAGGATGTTCTAAAAATGCTAGTGCAAGTTACACACTCATCCAACACTTGAAGCCAGATATCAAAGGAATTTCTAAATCTAGGCCAAATTATACCCTATTGAGACCAATAGATGAGTTGGAGAGCATTTTTTTTTTTTAATTAACTTGATTTTAGCCTAAAATTTGCCATTACCTGGAAGCTTCTACACAATTCATAGCATATCAAATAGTCTGATTTTGATCTTTAAACAAATTTGGGTTCATTCTTTGAACAATGAATTTTAGTGGACTGAAAACGGGAATGCTACGTTTACGCCAGACAAGCAGATTTTTAAAAATGTATAAATCCCAAACTCCTTTGTAATCACAAACGGTCTGTAAGCCTCATTGAAAACGGATAGAATATATATATATATATATATATATATTTTTTTGGTAAATCCTAGAAACGTTTCATCGCTTTTGAAGAAAGCAGTAGCCGGAGGCTGTACGTCCATTTACAATTGGCTAAATGATGTCATGTCAGTTAATTATTAAAAAAGCACAAATAAGCTAAGATTACACACAGGGGCACTTCAAGGTCAGGAGATTGTAGTGATATTAAATCACTTTCAATTACATCTTAATAAAAACAACTATATATTATTATTATTATTATTGCCATTTATATAGTGCCAACAGATTCCGTAGCGCTTTATATATGTGTATATTATTTTTTTTGGTTTGACATCAACCACAGGTACAAAACCCACAACCTTTTAGCACCATAACCACTAAAAAAATAATATTGGGGTATTTAGTTTTGAGGCTGCCTTCTACCCCAATTTATTTCTGATTTTGCTATTTTGGAAAAAAACAAAAAACGATCAGTTCCCTTATCTTATATCATCTTCACAATTACTGGTTTAGCTCACCAAAACGTGAAACGAAACTCGATTTGCAAAATTTAGACCAATGTAGATGAATCGGAAAAAATCCTGCTATTTATATATAGTCACAGAGAAATATTCAATCTCTCGTATTTTGACCTTAAATTTGTAATTCACTTTGAATTCTCGCAAGTGAAGATTGCCATGAATTTAAAGTGATTGTTAAATTTAAGCCAATCTTTTTTTCCACGTCAGATATGCTCCCATTTTGAATACTTTGGCTTTAAATTCGAAATTCATTTTGAACACCAGTGAATATCCCTATTGGGGTGCACAAGTGCTTACAAATGTGACTCATTTGCAGAGTTGTTCAGGAAATCGCCTTACTAGGTAAAAGACAAAGATGCAGAGACACATCAATACATTGATATACTATGTAGTTCTGTTTTACAAACACAAAGTGATAAAGACCTACAGACAGACGGAAATCGAAACTAGAAAAATAAGCAGAAGCAGGATTTTTAGGTCGGCTTGAAAAACAAACCAAGATTGTTCACGCAATGTTTGACAGATCTGCATGATTATCCGGTAAATTTCATACCTAGATGGTCGTATGCACATCTATATATAGCAAAAAAGTACAGCCTACATATTCTGGGTAAGATATTTATATATATATATATATTTTTTTTAATTTTTCGATTTTTTTTTTAAACATTTTTTTTAAATTGATGAATATTGGCTTCTTCCTGTCATTGCATTAATTGTGAAGGTTTTAGTGCTCACGGATTGTAAGTTCTGGAGTCTAGTGTAGTGGAGAAGATTTGCTTCTAGTTTGGTCTTATTCTAGCAATCTAATGCTTATTCGCTAACGCGGAAACTGCCGGGAATTCAAGGCGAATTTAAAAATTTAGGTCAAAAGAGACAATTCTGTTTTCAGTGTGGCAATACTGGCCTTAAAATGTAAAATTCTCACTTTATTAAATAACCCTGTCTGTCTTCACTAGAATGCGCGGTGAGGTAGGAGGGAGCTGCATAGCTTCGGACACAGATATTCTGCTTTCCTTGTTACCCCACCAGAGGTAACCTCCCCCCACCCAAACCCCATATTTACGCCAGCGCTCTGTGCCTTTTTTTCCCAAACCTGCTTCTGAGGACAGCGCGCTGGAAATGCTTGACCCAGTTTGCTCTTATCAGTTGGTTTATTCATGTACACGCGCACACACAGTATATTAAAGGGATATTCTCTGGGCTACAGCTGAACCAACTGTTTTTATTACACAAGAAAGATTTTACTTGATTTATACAAAAACAATAAATAGGCACTCCAATCACTATAACCACTACAGCCCACTAATGATAAAAGGGGTACCCTGGCCCAGTACCCAGATAATGGGGCAAACCGTTTAGCAACAGTCTGCCCTGCTACCTGGGTCCCTGGTGGTCCAGTGATGCGCTTCCATCTTTGGCTGAGCCGTGGAAGTTGCGGCCGACTCCATTCGATGTTGCACAGAACTGACACTAGACAGCCGTGACTTCTAGTTCTGGGCTGCCTTGTGACAAAGGTAAAGTTACACTTCCGGCAGCTGAGGGGTTAAACTGTGCATTTGCAGGTCTCATAGCGATACACTGCAAATACAGACTCCAGGCACCATGACCACTTCAAATCACTGCAGTAGTCATTCCTTGGAGTAATTCTTTAACACCGTAAAAACACTGCTTAGCGTATCTCATTAGCAGTGCTTTATGGGCGCAGCACAAGTTTCTGGAGGTTTTTATTATTATTTGCATATACATAACGCCAACATATTCCACAGCGCGGACTTATAATATTATAAAATGAGGATGTTTGACAACAAGTAATTTACATGCAGATAACAACAAAAACGAAATGACAGAGGCCGTTGCTCAAAGGAGCTACAGTTTTAATTGTCAGAAGACCATGTAGGTTGGAGAGCAGAGGCAGAATTGGGGGCAAAAGAAGAGAAGTATTCAATAAAAAAAAAAAAAACAACAACAAAAATCCAATCCAGCATAACTAACTGTAGCCTAACCTTCACAGTGTACTCAATGTGTGGGCATCTTCAGTGCCCCCCTTACAGTATGTTGCGGACCCCCGTTGCGGTTCTTTCTCTGTTGGGCACTTCGAGGTGGGGATTCTGCAAACCTCAGTGTGCTGCAAATTAGAAGATTATAGGATTCCAATTAGTGGATTAGACAGGCCTTTTATTCCCCACCTCGAAGAGAGATCAAATTTCTTCCCTCCAGAGACCTAAGTCGTGTTGTTGTTTTTTTTAGGGTGGTGAGTGAATATAGGTGGTGTATTTGATCTTCTTTAACAATTCGACGCAGGTTTTCTGTTTTGAATTAAAAAAAAAAAAAAATTGTTTAGCATAATCAAAGTCTTTATCAAAAATTGCTGTCCTGTTGTCAAAATGAGAACTTTTTCATCAAGTCATTGGACTATTTAAAATGATGGGCTACGTTATCACGTTTTCCATGTCAGATTGTTAATCGACTTCTCGTTCTGTGCAATTTCACGGCTGACGTTAGTTAGGCAGAGGTCAGCCAACAGTCAACCTACACACAGCACATGTTCTTATAAAAAGGAAATGTTAAGTTCTAAAAACGAATCAACATTCTGACTGAGCCTTAGATAACGTCAGAAAGAAAACCCATAAGGCAGTTCATATTTTGCCTTTAAAACAATAAACACGTAGACAGATTTTAGTAAAAGAACCTCATTGCTCTGCTATAATCTATTGGTCTGTTTAAATTGAAGTATTCTCTTTGATCTCATATTTCACATAGTCAGTAAAAAATATTTCCATTAATATTTGATGTTGAATCACCATTTAGCCTTCTTGTTGTGGGTTAGTCATTGCCATTAGCTGAATTTTCCCATTAATTTGGTTCTGCATGCAGTTCCGATTAGCCGTCTTATTTAAGTAAAAACAGTCCAACAGACTTTAAAGGACCACTATAGTATGTTTTCCTGGCTCTATAGGGTCCTTGGGTCCCCCTCACCCTCAGGGCCCCCCTCCCACCGTGCTCTGGGGGGGAAGGGGTTAAACCCTTAACTTTCTTCCAGCGCCAGGCTCCCTCGGCGCTGGGGACTCTCCTCCTCCTTTCCCGTCATCGGCTGAATGCGCATGTGCCGTGCGCGCATTCAGCCAGTCTCATAGGAAAGCATTCTCAATGCTTTCCTATGGACGCTGGCATCTTCTCACTGTAAAAAACACAGTGAGAATCGCGGAAGCGCCTCTAGCGGCTTTCAATGAGACAGCCAATAGAGGCTGGATTAACCCATTTGTAAACATAGCAGTTTCTCTGAAACTGCTATGTTTACAGCAGAAAGGGTTAATCCTAGATGGACCTGGCACCCAGACCACTTCATTAAGCTGAAGTGGTCTGGGTGCCTATAGTGGTCCTTTAAAGACACGACTTTTTAGAACTCAGACACACAGACCATAACATGTACAGACACATAGAAACATAGAATGTGACGGCAGATAAGAACCATTCAGCCCATCTAGTCTGCCCAATTTTCTAAATACTTTCATTAGTCCCTTATAGCTAGGATAGCGTTATGCCTATCCCACACATGCTTAAACTCCTTCACTGTGTTAATCTCTACCACTTCAGCTGGAAGGCTATTCCATGCATCCACTACCCTCTCAGTAAAGTAATACTTACTGATATTATTTTGAAACCTTTGCCCCTCTAATTTAAGACTATGTCCTCTTGTTGTGGTAGTTTTTCTTCTTTTAAATATAGTCTCCTCCTTTACTGTGTTGATTCACAAGATAACTTACATACATGGGGGTTATTTATTAAATTAAGAATTGTCAGTAAATGAAAGGGGAACTTTGTCAAAAACATCTGAGCTGGAAACACAGGGGTTTAGAGAGTATTTACAATTCAGCTATTTTAGTGCAAAATTTGAAATTATCTTTTTCAATTTCCGTCTGTTCACGGTTTAGTAAATAACTCTGTGTGCAGCGAGGCTTACAAACAGGATGCTAATAGCGTGTGCAATGATATGAACGCCAGATTAACAAGAGTCACAGATGCAGCAATATACCGATATATTCTGTAATTCTACTAAATCTGTACTCGTTCAGAAGAAAGCAAGGATGTTTGCATGTGTTCTCCAGATGTACCTTGCTTTAGACATGTGGATTTATCACGTAACCGACTGTCTAACCAGACGGTCCCCTACTCACAGGGATATGGCAAAAAAAAATACTCAAATAGTTCAACTGGTTGCATTGCGTAGAACTGACATGGAATGGTGAATGTACAAGGATAGAATATGGGGCATTGGAACACAAAGACAGACAGATATCAGGATTGACAGACACACAAGGACTGATGGGAATGGGATTATAGTGTAAAAGGACAAACAGGCCGGGGTTTGGCAGGTTTAGGGATTGACAAGCATTAGGCTTTACAGGCATAAGGACTAACAATCACAATATAAACACGTATAAAGACAGACAGGAACAGGGCAGGTGATGGAATAGACAGGAACAAGGCCATGTGATGGTAGAGATGGGTACCTGGACAGGCAGGTGATAGGATAGACAGGTACAGGGCAGGTGACAGGATAGACAGGTACAGGGCAGGTGATACGATAGACAGGTACAGTGTAGGTGATAGGATAAAAAGGTACCTGGACAGACAGGTGATAGAATAGACAAGGCAGACAGGTGAATAGATAGACAGGTACAGGATAGACATGTGATGGGATAGACAGGTGATTGGAAAGACAGGTGATGGGATAGACAGGTACAGGACAGGCAGGTGATGGGATATACAGGTACAGGACAGACTGGTGATGGGATAGACAGGTACATGGGCAGACAGTTGATGGGATTGACGGGTGCCTGGGCAGACGAGGGCAGCGAGGTATGTTGCTTTACGGAAAGACCAAAATTGTGCTCAATAGACAGGCAGGCTTGGCAAGAGACAGACATGATGCTATATAGACAGACAACCTGGGTTTTCTTATGTATGAACAGAGGAACTGATGTGTGGAGAGGTCATTCCTTTGGCTGCCTAAGCTTGATGGGAATAGGTTAAATTCCCATTCTGATTATATATTGTACTATACAGGACAGGACATGTCACAGGAGCCAAAATTGGGCTATTTATCTCCGATGTCCCATTCCCCATTCCTGCCTAATAAAGCTAATATACATGTGTCTATATATCACTTTAAAATCTCATGGAGTCATTTCCAGGAAGTGCTTTTACTGGATTCCCGTATATCCTGTGTGTGCCCCACGGGAGGCAAGATGAAAAATAACTGGCACTTCTCTGGTAGGCTGGGGTCTGATCTCACATATAGTCACACGGTGTAACCCAAACATTAAGAGACTGCTCTAGCAGTAAGTGGGGGTCTGATCTTATAGTCACATGACGTAACCCTGTCATTGCTGGGTGAGGGTCTCTAGCAGTAAATAAGGGGGAGGCGAGTCTGATTTAATGTAGTCATAAGCTGTAACCCTGTCATTGATGGATGGTGTGCTACGGCTCTAGCAGTCAGTAATGGGGTCTGATCTTATAGTCACATGCTGTTACCCTGTCATTGGTGAGAGAGGGGCTGTGGGGGTCTCTAGCGGTCAGTAAGGGGGTCTCTAGTGGTCAGTAAGAGGGTCTGATCTTATTATGACATGCTGTAACCCTGGCATTGCTGAGAGAGGGGCTGTAAGGGTCTCTAGCGGTCAGTAAGGGGGTCTGATCTTATAATCCCATGCTGTAACCAGGTCATTGTTGGGTGAGGGGTTGTGGGGGTCTCTATTAGTCAGTAAGGGGGTCTGATGTTATAGTCACCCTTTCATTGCTGGGAAAGGGGCTGTGGGGGTCTCTGTCAGTAAGTGGGGGTCTGATCTTATAGTCACACAATCTAACCTTGTCATTGCTGGGAGAGGGGTTGCGGGGGTCTGTAGCAGTCAGTAAGGGGGTCTGATCTTTTAATCACATGCTGTAACCCTGTCATTGCTGAGTGAGGGGCTGCGGGGGTCTCTAGCTAGTCAGTAAGGGGGTCTGATCTAATAGTCACACAATGTAACCCTGTCATTGCTGGGAGAGGGGCTTCGGGGATTTGTAACAGTCAATAATCACATGCTGTAACCCTGTCATTGCTGAGTGAGGGGCTCGTGGGCTCTCTAGCTAGTCAGTAAGGGGGCCTGATCTATCATATGCTATAACCCTGCCATTGCTGGGTGAGGTGCTGCGGGGGTTTCTATCAGTCAGTAAGGTGGTCTGATCTAATCACAAGCTAATTATATATTTTTTATGTGAGGGGCTTCAGTAGTTTATAGCAGTACGCCCCTCTCTTTGCTCACTTTACCCTCACACTTCCTATATCTCACAAACAGCTTTCTCAATGTCCCCTCTCGCCTTGCTATATGTCACCTCCCTTGTTCCCAGTTCTGGTTCCTATCTGATGTTAGTTTTCTTTTATTTCTGTAATAACAGGTGCTGGGTGATAGGCTCGTACAGCACTTCTATGAATATCTTCTTCGTCATCACAAGTTATTTTCATCTAATTATCGGGCAGAGAACAAGCATGAACCGTTTACTGTGCATCATAATGGAAGGGCTGAGTACAGGGAATCTTATCACTAAAACAGAGATAGAATAGACAAAAACATGCGTATTATAGAAATAGATGTGTTTATAGCAAGGGTAGTGGAATGGTAGATAGCTGTGTGTTATTTAAAGGGGGTTTTGGAATGACAGATAGCTGTGTGTTTCATAGAGAGGGTAACGGAATGACAGATAGCTGTGTGTTTCATAGAGAGGGTAGCGGAATGACAGATAGCTGTGTGTTTCATAGAGAGGGTAGCGGAATGACAGATAGCTGTGTGTTTCATAGAGAGGGTAGCGGAATAACAGATAGCTGTGTGTTTTATAGAGAGGATAGCTGTGTGTTTTATAGAGAGGGTAGAGGAATGACAGATAAATGTGTGTTTATAGAGAGGGTAGAGGAATGACAGATAGCTGTGTGTTTATAGAAAATGTAGAGGAATGACAGATAGCTGTGTGTTTATAGAAAATGTAGAGGAATGACAGATAGCTGTGTGTTTATAGAGAGGGTAACAGAATGACAGCTGTGTGTTTATAGATAGGGTAACAGAATGATAGATAGCTGTGTGTTTATAGAGAGGGTAACAGAATGACAGCTGTGTGTTTATAGATAGGGTAACAGAATGACAGATAACTGTGTGTTTTAAAGAGAGGGTAGCGGAATGACAGAGAGCTGTGTGTTTATAGAAAGGGTAGCGGAATGACAGATAGCTGTGTGTTTATAGAAAATGTAGAGGAATGACAGATAGCTGTGTGTTTATAGAAAATGTAGAGGAATGACAGATAGCTGTGTGTTTATAGAGAGGGTAACAGAATGACAGCTGTGTGTTTATAGATAGGGTAACAGAATGATAGATAGCTGTGTGTTTATAGAGAGGGTAACAGAATGACAGCTGTGTGTTTATAGATAGGGTAACAGAATGACAGATAACTGTGTGTTTTAAAGAGAGGGTAGCGGAATGACAGAGAGCTGTGTGTTTATAGAAAGGGTAGCGGAATGACAGATAGCTGTGTTTTACAGAGAGGGTAGCGGAATGACAGATAGCTGTGTTTTACAGAGAGGGTAGCTGGATGACAGATAGCTGTGTGTTTATAGATAGGGTAACAGAATGACAGATAGCTGTGTGTTTATAGAGAGGGTAACAGAATGACAGATAGCTGTGTGTTTATAGAGAGGGTAACAGAATGACAGATAGCTGTGTGTTTTATAGAGAGGGTAACAGAATGACAGATAGCTGTGTGTTTTAAAGAGAAGGTAGCGGAATGACAGAGAGCTGTGTGTTTATAGAAAGGGAGCTGGATGACAGATAGCTGTGTGTTTTACAGAGAGGGTAGCGGAATGACAGATAGCTGTGTGTTTATAGAAAGGGTAGCGGAATGACAGATAGCTGTGTGTTTATAGAGAGGGTAACAGAATGACAGATAGCTGTGTGTTTTAAAGAGAGGGTAGCGGAATGACAGAGAGCTGTGTGTTTTACAGAGAGGGTAGCGGAATGACAGAGAGCTGTGTGTTTTACAGAGAGGGTAGCGGAATGACAGAGAGCTGTGTGTTTATAGAAAGGGTAGCGGAATGACAGATAGCTGTGTGTTTTACAGAGAGGGTAGCTGGATGACAGATAGCTGTATGTTTTACAGATAGGGTAACAGAATGACAGATAGCTGTGTGTTTATAGAGAGGGTAACAGAATGACAGATAGCTGTGTGTTTTAAAGAGAGGGTAGCGGAATGACAGAGAGCTGTGTGTTTTACAGAGAGGGTAGCGGAATGACAGAGAGCTGTGTGTTTATAGAAAGGGTAGCTGGATGACAGATAGCTGTGTGTTTTACAGAGAGGGTAGCGGAATGACAGATAGCTGTGTGTTTATAGAAAGGGTAGCGGAATGACAGATAGCTGTGTGTTTTACAGAGAGGGTAGCTGGATGACAGATAGCTGTATGTTTTACAGATAGGGTAACAGAATGACAGATAGCTGTGTGTTTATAGAGAGGGCAACAGAATGACAGATAGCTGTGTGTTTTAAAGAGAGGGTAGCGGAATGACAGAGAGCTGTGTGTTTATAGAAAGGGAGCTGGATGACAGATAGCTGTGTGTTTTACAGAGAGGGTAGCGGAATGACAGATAGCTGTGTGTTTTACAGAGAGGGTAGCTGAATGACAGATAGCTGTGTGTTTTACAGAGAGGGTAGCGGAATGACAGATAGCTGTGTGTTTTACAGAGAGGGTAGCTGAATGACAGATAGCTGTGTGTTTTACAGAGAGGGTAGCGGAATGACAGATAGCTGTGTGTTTATAGAAAGGCTAGCTGGATGACAGATAACTGTGTGTTTTACAGAGCAGATATTCTGCATAGCAATCAGACTTATTTTTCTCGATGAGCTGTAATACTGTCGTTCCTTTATGATAAAAATAGGGAGAAGACAACAATAATGGCTGGCCGAGGATAAAGGGAGTAGCAGTCTATAGTATTTGGACTTCCACATTGACTTATCCATTAATGGCTGGCTGCGTTATGGATGTTGTAGCATTCTCCTGCAATTTGAAAGCCAAAGACTACAATTTGTGCCATCTCACCGTGGCTGTGCTTTGTGGGAGTTGTAATCCTTAGCAGCCATAGGGTTTGTCATCCAGATAAAAAAATAAAATTGGTCCCGTGCAATCTATACACGAATATTATTTTTCATAATGTTAATTACTCAGCCTGTCAGTGTGCAGATGGAGACGCGTTGTGTCACGGGAGATAACACCGTTAATTAAGCTGACATACCCCTTAATTAAGCTTGTCTTTCTAATTGGTCCTGAAAACGCCAGCTTTATTGTCAGTCTGCAGACACAGACGAGGTGAGGGCTGAGAGTCTTGCTTTGATCGATCTGTAAAAGATGGGGTGTTTTGACAGGAAATAACAAAAGCCACAGGGTGAACGGATATGACACAGGTTTCTGAAACACGTTATATTAACCCCTCTGTACCCTTGCTGCCACTCCGCACCCGGCAGATCTAAAACCACAAATGGTTCTGACACCTAGTCGCCTGGGTTATCAGGAATGTCTCTGAGCACAGGTCGCTCTTTTAAATGGTTGAAACTGCTTGATCCATAAAAGAAGAGCTCTCACAACTGCACAGAAAGTGATCATTTGGGTGACAACTACCATCATCTTAAGCCAGGCATTGAATGCCAATTGTGGTGACATAAATCTGCATCGTAGACAGAGAAAAGTGAATTGTTACTAAAGAAGTAGAGTGGGTTTCTGTGTTAAAATGTATTGTGACTAAATTTTAAATAAAGCTTTCTTAAAAAGAACACCCCACTCCCCAAATAAAAATAAGTTACAATCACTGTTTCATAGATGTAGCCCAAATGAAAACATGCATGCATTTATTTATACAATTTTTGATTAGGAGTATATCTTAAAACAGCTTGAAAAGGCTGCAGATCTCTTTCTCCAGCATTTGAAAGCCCTCCCCTTCTAACCCCGCCCAGACTTTCTGTTGCTGTCCAATCACAGACTTCCCAATATAGCTCAGTGAGAAGTCTTTGCAAGGTAGGTGTTCTGGGCAATTGTCTACCTCTTGAGCTTGGCAAACCAGGAAGTAACGTGACCTGTTGTCTGCTTAATAGCTAGGAGGTGTAACCAGGTTCATTTACAAAAGTGCCAATTTCTGTTGATATCTGTAAAAATTATAAGAGGATACACTCTTAACACATAAAGCATGTAAGCAAGCTAAAGTGCTTTAAAGGTCCCGAGTGCCAGTTTAGTAATTTTATCTTGATTTTATTTGCATACGGAAAATATTCGTAAGTCTCTGTGTATTGGGAGTTGGTATGGTAAAAAATTGCATTTTTCAATTCTCTGTTACATTTTATTTTTGCTACATAAAATCAACTTAAACAAGACATATCTTTCTCACCCTTTGTGTCCTTAGATGAGAATTTGCTAGACCTTAAGAGCCCAGGTACAGATACCGAAAAATGTTCCAAGCTAAAATTCCCAGCGCAGCCGCAGGCCATGTAAGTATATCTTATACCATACAATTACCTGCTTATGAAACCTCAGCCTTGTAAGTACCATTGGTACAGATGCCAACGATTCTGCCCATGAAGTGTTATTCTCCTTCGCAGAGATTCTGTTTTTATCCTGCCATGGAAATGCAAGTAAAAAGAACATTCTAGGCTTCTCCAAAAACATAATGATATTTTTTCGTAATGAATCAAATAGAGCCATTAAAAAGTTGCATAAAGCTATTAAACGTACCTGAAGTCCAGTGCCAAGTCAGTCTCCTCCATGCAGCCTGATCCACCCACAGTGAGATCATCGATCTGTTGTCCAATCAAATGCTTCTCGTAAAGGGGCATTTCAGACTTACGGCCCATGTGATGCATGAGGAACCACCAATCCAATGCTTCTCTATTAGAAGAGTAAGCTGTAAAGATCTAAAAAAAATGTAAGGTTTTGAGGAAAAAGGGCCTCTACTGACTATATTTCTGATCGGAAATACAAATGTGCTTTTGACCAAAATGTAAACATTGTAGTTTCCGTGAAACAGCCATATTTTACATTATTTGAGAAAAGGTGCAGTATCGATACAGTAACCTGAAGTGGTTTGGGTGCTTAGGATGTCCCTTTAAATCCATGGTTAATACTAACAGTAAGTAATTAATTAACTAATTAATATAACTGCTACAGCTCTATGTTGTGGTTATGTTGCCTATAGTCCCTGAGTGCTGTCCATGGGTTTTAAGACACGCACAGCCTGTCTCTTTTCAATCAACTCGATGATGCAACATTTACACTTCCTCATTATCTATCGATTCTATTCAACATGGATGGCAAATATTGGCGGAGAATGCTGACGCAATATCACTGAAATAACCTAATTTGCTTAATTTGGTTGAAATAAGCAAAATACACCTCTAATTGTAATTTGCCTACAGCTGACATAAAGCATGAAAACAAATTGCACATCTAGGAGGTGATAAACAAGTAACTCATCTGTGTAACACGCTCCCTGCTTACGTAAGGGAGTAATATCCTCTTTTAACAGTTGCATAAAAATCGCTGTGCTAATTCTACCTTACCCAATCACTTCCACTTTCTGTACTCGTAGTGTCACATAGTATTACCAACTCTGCTTCCTATTAACTCTTTGTGAACCATTTTAGTAGGAAGGTTCATTTATCACGCGCAGCAGCACAGGCTGATGGACAAGACCCTAATAAATAGCGTAATAATGAATGGTAAAACAACATAAACACGATGCACCAGAATACTAAAATAGAAAAGATGGTACATAGTAAGGTTTTCTAGGTTACAGTATTACTTAACATTTAATTTTACTTCCCATTTAGATAGCAGTAGCTTAGAATGTGCAAACCCAACATTTTATGCCCAGTACCTCTTTTGCAATATCCAACCCCAGCTGTTACATTCAATTACTATATCATTATGTAATTTTATCTGAAATATTTTATTCGTTATTTAACTAATAGTGTGCCAGCATTGCACACTCAATGAGTTAATGGAATACTTGGGAATCGCTAACTTTACAGGGCCCCTTCCCCCACTGACAAGAGACTAGGCTTCTAAGAATTAATTTTAGTGTCTAATCTGAGAGGAAGGAGATGCGTGAAAGACAGCATTGTGTATCCTATCTAACCAAGCTTCCCCTGCCATCTCTTTGTGAATTAGGATTCGGGTTGCAGCCCTGCAGGAAGTGTGGTTCAAAGGTCAAAGGTTAGTATGTGTTCGCTGCTACCCCTTCTCTCTGTCTGATCGACCTGCAATCAGTGTTAAACTTTGGTTTTTCTATCCGCAGTCTTTTAGTGTGAAACCCCCTGTAAGAGAACTCTGCTCTTCCTGCCAGAAGACGGTCTACCCCATGGAGAGACTGGTGGCCGACAAACATATATTCCACAATAGCTGCTTCTGCTGCAAGCACTGCAGTACCAAACTGAGGTAAGTCCCCGTGCTCGGCAGCTGTTTGTGTTGGGTGGGAAAGATAATCATGAGTTCTCAGTAAAAAGGATATTCGTAAAAGTGTGAATTGTCTGGAATTTGAAGTACATTTTCAAAGTTTAGACTAGAGTAGCCGAATAGGAAAAACTCTCCAAGTCATCTGTTTCCAGTTTGGCTATTTAGGTCTGAAATGTGAAATTTATTAATAATTAACACTTATTGAACAACCCTGTATGTGTGTAGTGGCCGGTACCGGTGCTCCGGGAGGTAGGTGAATGCGTTAAGTACCATTCTGGCTGTCGGTACTTGGGAAGTAGGTTGAATGGGTTTAAACGAATGATTCCAAGTAATCTGCGTCTGTAATACATACAGGATAAGTCACTAAAACATGCATTGTTGGGCATTCAAAGTGAATTTAAGGCCAAAATGACCCAAACAGAAAACAAAGCTGAATTTGAGAGATCGGCTATTTTGGCCTACAATTTGAAATCCTGATAGGTCTCACTTTAGTATATGACACTGATAGATCTTATCAATCATTGTGTTTGAGAAGTCAGCTTTTTTTTTTTTTTTCTTTTTTTTTTAAAAGGAAGTCTTGCAGACAAACAAACAAACAAACAAACAAACAAAAAGAGAAATAAAACAATTACTATGTGGACATCGAAGTACTCCTTTTATGGAAATATGACCTGGTGAGAATGTTCTGTGCATGCGGACGCTGGGTGTCTGGCAGCTCAGTGCGTGCTCATATGGCTGGTAGGTAGCCTTTTATTGGAACACCTACAACTCCCACGATGCTTTGCATACCTTTAGAATGACAAAGCATTGTGGAATCTGTAGTTTTAGAACGTCTGGGGATCTACCAGGACAGCCCTGACTTATACGAATCAATGGGCATCGCATGAAAGGTGCTGTCTTGCAGTATTTACATCGTGCAGGCTGTAAATGGTCAATTTTAGAGGAATCCTGCATCATGCAAATTGTAAAAGCATGCGCTGCCCACCACGAAGGGGTGATGTCTGGGAAAACATCCTATATATTGCTGGGTTTACCATGTTTTTCCAGTGTTGCGCAGTACATACTTTTGCAAGATGTTTTTAAAACTACAGATTCAATGAGGCTTTGTCATTCTAAAGGCATGCAAAGCATCATCGGAGTTTTAGTTCTACAACATCTGGGGATCTACCTATTGGGCACCCTTGGTCTAAGTAATGTATGCCCAGGGAAAAGTGCTGGATCTGGCAACCCTAAGTCAGATCAAATGGAATCTGCACATTTGCTGGCGGGCACATTATTTAAATTACATTTCTATCTGTTGTACGGCAGAGATAAGAGTGTAAAATAGTGTGTATTGTTGCCCATTATTACATTCACATTATCTGTTAATTGAAGCTGAACGTTGTTGGCTGTGATGGGTGGGTGTATCCTCCAGCATTTTGCAGAGTTTTACATTGCAGACGCAGTGTATGACCCGCGAGCCCCTATTCCTATAGAAAAGGTTTTAGCCATTCTATTTTGTAGCCAGTGCAGCAAAATAAATACTTGTTACGTTTAAAGGAATTCTCCAAACCCCTAAACCTCTCCAGGGTGCTGAAGTGCTTTAGGGGTTAACAGTATCCACCCGTTCACACATTATAAAAGTGCCGATTGCACGAGAAGCTGGCACTTCCTGATTCTTCTTTTAGACTGCTTTATGCCCTTGAAACAAAGTGGAAAGCGATGCTTTTTATAGTGAATCACTGAGTTGAGAATCATTGCTGGCGCAACATTGGATTCCTAGTGAGGCAAAGCACAGCTACAGTGAAGAACCTTATTACTGCTGGATTAAAAGTGACGCTATAGTCACCAAAACAACTTTAGCTTAATGAAGCAGTTTTAGTGTATAGATCAGGCATAGGCAACCTTCGACACTCCAGATGTTTTGGACTACACCTCCCATGATGCTTGGCCAGCATTATGAGTGTAAGAGCATTATGGGGAATGTAGTCCACAACATCTGTGGTGCCAAAGGTTGCCTACCCCTGGTAAAGATCATGCCTCTCAGGTTTCACTGCTCAATTCACTACCATTTAGGAGTTAAATCACTTTGTTTCTGTTTATGCAGCCCTTGTCACACCTCCCCTGGCTCAGATTGACTCTTTCTCTGTAAAATGAACTTTAATCACATACAGGAGGCTCTTGCAGGGTCTAGCAAGCTACTAACATAGCAGGGGATAAGAAAATCTAAATTAAAAATGGAAGTATAAACTTTAGATGACTCTTTACAGGAAGTGTTTATGAAGGCTGTGCAAGTCACATGCAGGGAGGTGTGATTAGGGTTCATAAACAAAGTGATTTAACTCCTAACTCCTTGGTAACTATAGTGTCCCTTTAAGTTAACTCCCTTCTTTTTTTCTTTTTACAGGCAATGTGTTCTAATTAGTATATAATTTAATACTTTTGTGTTATAATGGTAGTGCTCCTCTGAATGATAGACTGTAATTTCCCCTTACAAATAAATACTGTTTCGTGACTACCAATTCTAGATTGAAACTAACCCTTTGAGTGCTGGTGGTATGCCAAAACAATGCTTTACATACGGTACATTCTGCAAACTGTCCCTATCCTCACACCATCTGTCTCTGTATTTCACAGCCTGGGCAGCTACGCAGCCCTCCATGGGGAATTTTACTGCAAACCTCACTTCCAGCAACTCTTCAAAAGCAAAGGGAACTACGATGAAGGTTTTGGACGTCGCCCTCACAAAGACCTCTGGACCCACAAAGAGCAGGACGCCTCGGGAGACAAAGCTCTCTGAGAGGCTACGCAATATTTAACACCCAGGGATTTGCCCTTCACCCAAAATGCACCTTGGGTGGGGTCCCGGTGCCTCAGCTGAGTGCATATTTTGATGCAGATGAAGGCACTTTCTATAGGATGTAGCTTGGTGTAGTTAACCCCTTCCCTGCTGGAGGGGGGCATCTCACAAGATCACTTTTAAATAACTAAAAAAATATCACATTCCGCCCTGAATTCCTTAATAGGATGAAGACTATGAAGGGATCAGGCAATGCTATGTATAGATCTTTTTAAGTATCCCAATTCCAGGGTACAGTTGCTTCATTTTTTTTTACATTTTTTGGGGGGTTAGGTGATCCCTTGTTAAAGACATGAGAGTTATAAGGGAACCTGGTTGTTCATAGCGTCACTTGCCACAAATACAGGAACAGGCTTAAAACAAAGCGATCAGGGATCATCGAACTCCATCAACTTTTTCACATATATATAAATATATATATGTGCAGATTTGAGGAGGGGCTGGTGGTAGAGTTGCACAGGGGTATAACAGCATGGCGGATCATTAGATTCGCCCTTACAGGGACCGTGTCCCACGCTCACCATGTGGAGGACAAACAGAAATGTTAATAATTTCAAACTTAAAGGGGCAGGAGGGATTGTATTCTTGTGACATCCTGACTTTGCCAAGAGTAAAATGATTTACAGTACTTACAGTGGACATATGTCCTAATCACGTTTACTGTAATAGTTTAAAAATGGCTGGATGGAAACATTTTCATCATACAAGCCTGAATCTTAAACTCAGTACTTCCATTACGTCCATCTTCCTCGTGCCCCCCCCCCCTTCCCCAGCCTAATCCAAAAATTAACTTACTATTACAACTCTGCTTATGAGAGAATGGAACTACATGTTATGATGTGGTCATAGCCATAGGGAGGCTATAGGACATATCAGTAGTACGTTACTTTTTACAAGATGCAGGTTCGTTTACAGACTGTTTTTACTGCGTTAATATTTTCCGTGAGGTCTGATTGTAAAATAAACACATCCCGAGGATCCACTGTACCCAGTGTTGTGCCTTTGTCCTGATGTAATCAGAATCAGTGTCTGGGTTTCCACCCGGCCCTTCCCAGAATTAAAGCTAAATGAATCGATTTCAACCAAAATTTCGCATTGCGATTGCCACTGCCAGAAACAAATAAAAATATAGATTTTAAAAAATTGCAACATCAAGGCAGGTCTGCTGCAGATCATTACACCCCATTAATTAAAGGGGCGTATATTTGTTGTTGGAATTATATATAGGTTTCGTATCCAAAACATTCTTATTTTTTTTTAATGTACAGCTTTAAGTAGTCCGTTTAAGACCCACTGTTCTGTTCCATCTAGGTTGTCGATTTTGTATAAAACATTATTTTAGAGCAGTATTTTTCAACATGTTACACTTTGATCTCCCCCATCACATTTTAAGAAATCTATTTGTAGTAATGCTTTACTGTGCAAAAAAAAAAAGAATAAAAAAAAAATGCATTGTGATCAATGAGCATGGGGAATTCGACATTAAACAGAGTTAAATTACGTGAAATTGTTTAATGAAAAAGAAGAAAATTAAAAAAAACAACCTCTTTGGCAGTGTGTTTTGTCCACTGTTATCACAAAGTTGCTAGTCCGTCAGATACATAAAGGTACAGGACATATACAATTACAAATCCTCTATTTTGCCACAGTATAGAGACAAATTTTAGATTTGAATGCATGATACAGCTAACAGCACATGTAATAGGGGAACACTGACCCCTAGTGTTGCATGGAGTAACTGAAGCACACAATCTATAATCACAAGGGTGGCCTGCTGACAGCGGTCACTGGCTGTCATAAACCTCAGGTTTAGCATTTGTTTCTCAGCAGATCTAAAAGTAAAAACCGGTTTTACTTACTGTACATCGTTGTTTGCCTTTCTCTGCCTTATGCAGCTCCTTGCACCTAACTGGCTCCGTGCCTTAGATGTATATTCGTGGGGCTGTCTCCTCCAAGGCATTAACTTTTTTCTGTGCTAGCAAGAGGTGACTGTTCAGTGATACAGGGTAAATTACATTAAAGAATTTGCTGTTTTGATCTAAGCCTTGTGTCTTTATTACTGTGTATTAAGAGGAAGTGAGAGGGATGTGTCCCGGTGTCTGTGTATTAGGAGGAGGTGAGAGGGGTGTGTCCCGGTGTCTGTGTATTAGGAGGAGGCGAGAGGGATGTGTCCCGGTGTCTGTGTATTAGGAGGAGGTGAGAGGGATGTGTCCTGGTGTCTGTATATTAGGAGGTGAGAAGGATGTGTCTGTGTATTAGGAGGGGGCGAGAGGGATGTGTCTGGGTGTCTGTGTATTAGGAGGTGAGAAGGATATGTCCCGGTGTCTGTATATTAGGAGGCGAGAGGGATGTGTCCCGGTGTCTGTGTATTAGGAGGAGGCGAGAGGGATGTGTCCCGGTGTATGTGTATTAGGAGGAGGTGAGAGGGATGTGTCCCGGTGTCTGTGTATTAGGAGGGGGCGAGAGGGATGTGTCCCAGTGTCTGTGTATTAGGAGGAGGCGAGAGGGATGTGTCCCGGTGTCTGTGTATTAGGAGGGGGCGAGAGGGATGTGTCCCAGTGTCTGTGTATTAGGAGGAGGCGAGAGGGGTGTGTCCCGGTGTATGTGTATTAGGAGGAGGTGAAAGGGATGTGTCCCAGTGTCTGTGTACTAGGAGGAGGCGAGAGGGATGTGTCCCAGCGTCTGTGTATTAGGAGGAGGTGAGAGGGATGTGTCCCGGTGTATGTGTATTAGGAGGAGGTGAGAGGGATGTGTCCCAGCGTCTGTGTATTAGGAGGCGGCGAGAGGGATGTGTCCGGGTGTCTGTGTATTAGGAGGAGGTGAGAGGGATGTGTCCCGGTGTATGTGTATTAGGAGGGGGCGAGAGGGATGTGTCCCAGTGTCTGTGTATTAGGAGGAGGCGAGAGGGGTGTGTCCCGGTGTATGTGTATTAGGAGGAGGTGAAAGGGATGTGTCCCAGCGTCTGTGTATTAGGAGGCGGCGAGAGGGATGTGTCCGGGTGTCTGTGTATTAGGAGGAGGTGAGAGGGATGTGTCCCGGTGTATGTGTATTAGGAGGAGGTGAAATGGATGTGTCCCGGAGTCTGTGTATTAGGAGGTGATAGAGATATGTCCCAGCATCTGTGTATTAGGAGGAGGTGGAATATCCTACAGAAGGATGTCTAATTTAGATATTACCTAGTTAAAGTAGCACTCCACCTATATTAGGTGCAATGTTTTATATCTTGTAATAAAGCAATTTTTTTTCTTTTTAACTGTGTTTTACTTATTTTCAATTTGATTAATTAAATATTGAAATCTACGCTGCTATCTATCCGATAGCTGGAAGGCTACATGTAAATCATCATTATAAACATTTCCCTTTTCTGCCACTGACTATATGATTAAAACAGTTCTGACACTTTATTGCACTGGCATGTTCAAATATAACTCCTGGGAAGCCCCAAATTTGTTGGTTTTGTTAAAGAATGTTTCTACTTTTCCTTGATGTGTAACCTGCAATTTGACAAAGAGTAGAGGTTTAGTCACGCTCTTACCTCCTTCCAACATTGTGTTCTGGCAACGTTGCATCATTGACTGCCTGTGTCTACATTTGCGCAATCCCAGTGTGCTGGGCATGCAGGTGATTTAATTTGAGGCAGTGATTTCTGGCATCAACTATCTTAGAAATTCAAAGATGGTGGCACTGTAAAAGAAGACCCAGCAGGATTTGCACAAAAGGGTAAGAAGCACTGGTACTCAAGCCACTAAATGCTGTATGGGCAAGAGGGATACACAGATGGGGATGAGACAGAATTGGGTGACAGAGCCTATTTACAGGAACATTCTAAGCACCATAACCACTACAGCCCACTATACAAGTTATTGTGCCAGGCATTCTCACACACAACCCGATTATAAGTAGTCAAGACATATTACAATAGTTTGACTTCCTATGTAAGGTGCACCGAGTGCCTCTCTTTGTCTACATCTGACAGCAAGGCTTAGCTCATTGGCTGAGAGTGATTAGTTGACAATTTCAGCCAATAAGCACGCCCTGCACAGCTTAGCTCCTAAGCAGTAACTTCTGGGTCATTTGTAGCTGCAGTGAAGTTGGGGAGAGGCGCACGGCAGACTAAAATGCCTAAACCCTTCTAAAAGTTTTACTGCTTACTATGTGGGATGTGGGCAGGGCACTCCTGACACCATAACCACAACAGCATCGGAACATCACATGAAAAAGAGGTTAACACAAGTTGTAGGTGATTTTCAGTTGCTTCATTCAGAGATGTTCCAGAGAAGAAGAGACAGTTCCCATTTAATAAATAAAAAACTCCTCTTAAAATCATTCCCCTCTCACAACCTGACCTACTGTCCTACCATTTTATTTTACAACACTGCTGTACTTAATGTTGCAAGCTGGGTGTTCACGACCGAAAGATGACAATGGAACTACACCTGCCAGGAAACACTCGATGGGGCAATAAAGCACTCCATTATGGGACAGATTTAACAGTGTTGTAGGAGAAAACTTTGCACCTGAAGTCATTTCCTGGTTAGGCAAGAGCGCTCTGCAGAAGCTGCACAGTGTGCGATGTGATCACCTTTACATTTCATTTAAAAAAAAATATGAAAAAATGAAACTGCATTCCGAAATGTACTTTTAATTAATTTGTGCCTTTTCAAATTTGGATTTTTGAGCAAAACCACAAGATTATGAAGCCCAATACCCACACTCTCTTCAGCACCACAAGCAGAACAATAATTAATTAGCTGAGGAAAAATGAAATGCAGGTTTTATGTCAAAATATGAGTTCAAGGAGAGTTAATACAACAAAATTAACTGTTCCCCACAGCACCAGGTGTAAAGTTCTTTCACTGCCTGTAGTGCCTTTAGACTGGATGAACATCATGTCAAATTGTCCACCAAAAGCTGCTGTGCCAAAGATTAACCATCATGCCGCTATAATGCTCGATGCCCTATAGTGAAGAAGTGGCTTTCCATAATGGGTGTGTAGCTTATAGGGCAGGGGTAGGCATCCTTCGGAACCCAAGATGTGGACTACATCTCCCATGATGCTTTGCCAGCATTAAAGACCTGTAGTGCCAAAGGTTGACTATCCTTGCTATAGACCAACATAGTTGGCAATCTGCACCAGATTAAGTGAAAACCCATTAACTTTACGTGAAAGTTAACAGCACCCATGTCTGGTCCATCAGATCCTTAATCTGACATGATCAGGGCCGGACTGGGGATTCCAAAGCAGCCCTGGAAAAAAAAATAAAAAAATCCATGCCAGCCCCATAAGTCATTGCGCCATATATTGTCTCATGTAATACGTAAGGCTATGTCTTGCCACCCTAGATGATTGATATATATATATATATATATATATAGCTTTTTCCAATATAAAATATTGGTCCTTTCAGAGTAAAATTTTTAATTATACAGTAAGCATACTCACATGCAGACACAGACAATCTCACTGACACAAGCTGATTGATACACTGCCTCATAGACAAACAATCTCACTGATATACATAAGGTCATTGACATAAAAACACAAGCTCACTCAGTAGCTGGCACACACACACACACACGCAAGCCCACTCACTAGCAGGCATGCACACACACACAGCTTAATGTAGTGGCTCTGGTGTCTATAGCCTGTCCCTGCAGGCTTTTCAATGTAAACACTGACTTTTTAGAGAAAAGGCAGTGTTTACATTGCTTCCTAGTGACAGACACTCAGAAGGTCACTAGAGGTGCTTCCTGTGTCAGTGCGGATTGGCTGAGATCATCAAGCTTGATGATCTCAGCCGTAGAGACAGGGCCAGTCGAGGGGAGACCAGCACGACGTGGGAGAAAAAAAAAAGGTGAGTAAAAACACACATACATACCATGACAGACACTGACAGACCGTGACACAGACACACACACCGTGACAGACAGACACACACACCATAACACAGAAAGACCATGACACAGACAGACACACACACACACAATGACACAGACAGAGACACAGACAGAGACACACACACATACACTCACACTGACACAATTTCTACCTGTGTGCTGGCATGGGGGAGCTAGCTCTTTTGGCAGCCGCAGGGGGAGCTGGCTGTTCTGTCTCTGCTCCCCCTCCCCAGCGCACTGCTTAAAGGACCACTATAGTGCCAGGAAAACATACTCGTTTTCCTGGCACTATAGTGCCCTGAGGATGCCCCGCCCTCAGGGTCCCCCTCCTGCCGGGCTGGATGGCAAGGAAAGGAGTTAAACTTACCTTTTTTTCCAGTGCCAGGCGGGGAGCTCTCCTCCTCTTCGGCTGAATGCGCATGCGCGGCAGGAGCTGCGCGCACATTCAGCCAGAGGCTGGATTAACCCATTTATAAACATAGCAGTTTCTATGAAACTATGTTTATAAAAAAATAAAAGGGTTAATCCTAGAGGGACCTGGCACCCAGACCACTTAATTAAGCTGAAGTGGTCTGGGTGCCTAGAGTGGTCCTTTAATGAGACCGGGGCCGGAATATGACGTCATATTCCGGCCCCGGTCTCACTAAGTGGCGCGCTGGGGAGGGGGAGCAGAGACAGAACAGCCAGCTCCCCCTGCCAAAAGTGCTCCCTCTGCGGCCGCAGGTGAGCCAGCTGCCTGCCCAGCTCCAGGTGCCGACAGCCCACCGGGAAACTTCCCGGTATCCCGGTGGACCAGTCCGGCCCTGGACATGATACATAAATCTGTGCTAGTGGAAGGGGTGCCAGACGACTGTCCCACCCAGGGACTGGACCACAGCCTGTATTCCAAATCTGGGCTGTATTATTATTATTTTTTTTATTATTTATATAGCGCCATCAGATTCCATAGCGCTGTACAATCGGTACAGATTTTCTCACCTGTTAAATGACACAACTCATAGCAATAATTTAAAGGCTGCATGTAAGGAAGATAAATGGTAAATATCTTCTAAGTCTTGTGTTTTTTTCTCCAGCTAAGCATTCTAACAGAGTTGTAACCAGGTTATGTCACAATTACTGGATACAACCCACAATAAGGTCATAAATCCCAGCTGGAATTACGATTACAGATGTTTAGATCTCGGTTTGATGAGCGTTCTGTTTATAATTTCCATGGTTCCCTTATAACTCCGCCATAAGCGTTGCGTATTAGGAGACATAAATGTATACAAATTGAGAACGACCCCAAAGAATGCAAAGCATATGTATTAATATAAACAATCTTTTTTTATTGTAAATAAAATCAAAATAAAAAACGGAATACATTGGAAGGGCTCTGCACTGCAAGCCCTACGTCAGTATATATATATTTATAGAGATTTATACAGTAAATTGGATATTTCTTTTGGCACTATTTCACCCTTGCTCAAAGGACGAAAAAAATAAAATAAAAAAAAAGGAAAATAAAATACATATCTATTTAATAGGTGCACGAACATGTAACTTATCCACAGCCATTAAAGCAATATGGTGGAAACACACCCGTTGCATCATGGGTACATTTCCACATGTTGTTCCGTATCACAATAGAGTATGTACATTCCCAGTTCATATACAGAGAAAACAACATTTAATAAAACCGTCTGTAGTTTTCTTCCGCTGCTTTGGTGAATAGAGAAGCCTGGATTATATAGAGAAGACACATGAAAACTTGATTGCTATGAGTGTTTTAAATACATTCCCTATTAAATATAGCATTCATTTATATGGTTATTAAAACCCATAGATTTTGAGAAGCACTGAAACACACGACATGTAAAACGTAAGGACGGGTACATTGTCTGCTAGTGACAAAATGGCGAAAGGACGGAGTGCA